GTTAAACATCCACTAGCGCCAGGTGCAGAGGCTTGAGCCTGTAGTCCCAGCTACTCAGGAGGCTGAGGCAAGAGGATTGCTTGAGGCCAGGAGTTGGAGGCTGCGGTGAACTGTGATCGTGCCACTGCACTCTAGCCTGGGCAACAGAGTGAGACCCCATCTCTAAGAAAAAATTTAAATGAAAAAAAGTTTTAAAAAGCATCTACTCACCCTTTCCTGGGCCTAAGGAAGCAATGCCTGGCCTGGATAAGAAGGGATTTGAAGTCTAGTGGTGGTTGTATAAATATTTGCAGATCAAGACTAGAGGGGCTGGTGGTCAGGACAGTACACTGAGGCCGGGCCACAGATCTGTCTCGCACACTTCTGAGCTGGCTGTGCCAATTCTGTTGAGGCCAGAAGCAAAAGTGGCAAAGCACTGTGGCTTTCTGTCCAGTGAGTGTTGGTAGTCCGTCTGTCCTCAGAGTCCCGGTCTTCACCCTCTCACCTCTATGTCTCACTTGAGCCTCTAATCCTAGAAAAACTCCACCACGAGCGTGCTACAGATGACAAAATTGAGGCTCAGAGAAGTTGCACAATTTACCCAAGGCCACACAACGGGGTCCTTGGAGCCAAGACTCCTACCAGAACTTCTGACTGTCTGCAAAGAGGTCGTTCTCCCGAGGAGAGAGCCTCCCTCTCTTCAGCTGCCACCAATAGTCATATCCCCACCAGGGGCTGGCGTGAGGTTCAGAGGAAGCAGTGGATATAAATGGCATATAAATTGTCAATTTCCCACAGACATTAGTGTCTGTTACTGTGGTAACCACTGGCATTTGTGGATTGCATTTGCTCTGGATAGCAATGGTTATGTTGGCATTTTAATTTAATAGCATTGTTATTTTCCCATCACATAATATACATCATGCATATGTCCAAACTCGTCACATTGTATATGTTAAATATGTACAGTTTTTGCATATAGATTGTACCCCCATAAAGCTATTAAAAATAATATACCTTCATTTCAGAAAATACAGAAAACATAGAAAATAGAAAGAAGACTAAAAATTACTTTATTTCAACCACCCTAAAGCAAGCTCTGTTAACATTTTGGAGAATGCTTTTCCAGCTGTTTTCTTCCTCTCTGCCCAGTTTGTTTGCTTATCTAACATGGCTAGGATCCCTGGTCTATATAACTGAAAACATTTGATGCACACTTTTATAGCCCGTTCTTTCTTCCTTGGGGGTTTTAATACTACATAGCAAGAGCCAGAGTCACCTCTGACCCCAGCTCAGCTGTGTTGTGGCTGTGGCTTCAGCCCAGAGGTGTGTGGGTGTCCCTGGACCAGGGTGGCCTGCCCCGTGGAGGGACAGTGTCAGGACAGCCAGGACATGGCCCCATTCCCGAGTCTGTGCCCAGGGGGCACTTGCATGTTCCCATAGAGCAGCTTTCCTTGTCTTGTCTTTTTCAATGAAATGAAGGTGCGTCTGTCCTGGGGTTGGATGTGTCCAGCCCACTGTCCTGCTCCTACCCAGCCTCAATCTCTCCTCCGTGCTGTCCAAGCTGGCATGTACCCGCGGGCGCCGATGCCAGGTCAGGAGCGGCCTCTAAAAGGCCTGGACTGGGAACAAGAACAGGCAGTTACTGGATCGATACCTGTGGTGTGCCTACTGCATGCAGCACCGTTTGGGGCCTTGTGAGTACAGCCACGAATCCACAAGACCGAGACCTCGTCCCTTGTGGAGTGTGCTTTCTGGCCAGGGGAGAGAGCCAACCGATGATAAAATCCCTATAGAGAAGCATCGTGGGTGATCAGGGGGCTCCGGATGGGGCGGCGGGGGTGCAGGTAGCAATTTCAACAAGTGGTCCAAGTCAGGCACGTTGGGAAGACTGCAGCTGAACAGAATTGAGAGAACAGGAGGCACTGTGCTGATATCCAGGGAAAATCACTCCAGGCCAAGAGAATGGGTCTTGGATCAGAAGGGAGCCAGGGCTCTTGAGAAGGGCCAAGGAGCCCTGGGTTTGGAGGGGAATACACGGGGTGGGAGGCACACGAGGCCATGGGAGGGGCAGAGGATATGAGTTTCCTTTTGCTGAGTTAGAAACACGAGACCTCGACCTCATGCATACGACAATAAACATTTTTTATCCCACATCGGCAGATTCTGTGGTCCAGGCTTGGCGGGGCTTGCCCGGCTCTGCGGGGCCCTGCTGGAGGCCGGACCTGGTTGGGGCAGCTTTACTTCCCTCTCTCCTCCTCCGCCCAGGGGACCAGTGGCTGGCCCGGGCAGGTCCTCCTCCTGGCGGTGGCAGAGGTGCAGGACGGCACACCCCAGCGCATCAGCCCCTTTCCAGTCTCTGCTTGCAGCTTGTCTAGTTGCCATCCTGCAGGCCACAGCAGATCACGGGGACAAGCCCAGAGTCAAGGTCAGGGGTGCCGGGGGCAGGTTACCCTGCCCAGGGTGGGAGGCATTGCTGAGCTTCATGGAGAGGACACAGGTGCGGGGAGGGGAGAAGGTTTGGCTGTGGACATGGTGTACCTCCGGGGACCGTCCGACTCTCCCACTCTTCTGAGACCTTCACTTTACTCTGGGTGTAACATGGGCAGCCGCTGGGGCTCTGAGCAGCGGAGTGAGCGATCGGTCCTGGGCGTTGCCAGCTCCCTCCTGCGTGCCTTGAGGCTGGAGTGCAGCAGCCCTGGGAGAAGGCAGGAGCCCTTAGGAGACTGGCGCGGTCACCAGGTGAGAGGGGAGAAGTGGCGGGCCTGCGCACCTGCTGTGAAGGCCAAGCCAGCGGGAGCGGACGTGTGGCGAGGAAGAGAGAGAGAGAGAGAGTCAGGGCGACTCCAGGGCTTGGGCCTGTGAAAAGAGAATCCCAAATGGAGATGTGATGTCGCAGGAGTCTGACAGGAGGTGGAGGGCATGAGGAGTCGCCCCCGTCACGTACACGATCATGTGCAACTTGACCTGTTGAACTGGCCAAATCGTAAAACCAGCTGCATTTGATTTGAACCGTTTATACTGGGCCTGATCACAAACTGGATTGAGCTGAACAGACATCCTAAGCCGCCAACCAGCCATCCTCGGCCGAGGGCTATGCTAAGCCCTCCAGGAGAGTGAACTCCCGGGGACCCTCACAGGGCCCTGCGCAGCCTCGCCCGGTGGAGCGAGTGGCCACTTGGGAGATCCTCGCCTCCGAATTGCAGTTCCTAAGACCCGGATTAAAACGCCTTTTCTTTCTTTTTTTTTTTTTCTGCTCTGAACTGTTGGTTTTATTTCCTATTCGTTGACAGGCCAAGCAGGTGAACCATGGAGCCCCCTTCGCCTGAGATGGGGGAAGTGGCAGAGGAGGGGGTTGAGGAGGAATCGGAATCCAGTTTTGGGGACCAGTGGGGGTTTTTGTGCAGAGTGACACACTAAGTCTCAGGACTGTAACCATCACCCTGGCCACTGTCAGAGTAGAGTGTGGGGCAGGGAGGCCCCAAGTGCCCTTCCTGGGACTGCTGGGGTGGTGGGCCTGGTGCTGGTCAGATCTGTGGTTTGTTTGAAAGTAGGTCCATTTGGCTGACGCTGGGATCAGAGGATTTAGAGGCTACAGAGTCCAGGCCAAGAATTTGAAGAATGACAGAGTTTCCATTCACAGGGCTGGCCCTGTTCCTCTACTCCTGCCACCCATTGCTGCTCGGGCATGTGGGGACCATGTTCTAGAACTTTCCATGTTTCAAGACATACTGGAAATGCAGATTTTTGTACAGGGAATCTTTCACTTTTCAAATACTAGAAATGCAAATTAAAAATAAAGATCATTTTGGGGCTCCAAGAAAAATTGGTGGTGGAACAGCGCTCAGGCCTTGGGTCAGTGAGCTGTCCTTCCGAGCAGGCTCAGCCCGTAGGAAGGCTGGATTTCCTTCTCCCAGGCCAGCTCCTGTCTTGGCCCTGCTCTCCCCTCCCCCAAGGGATGGCCCCCTGGAATGTACGGGTCAGTCATCTCTGTGACTCATAGGACCTGAGAATGTCGGGGGAAGGAGAGTTCTTCTTGTTCCCAGATGCAAACACTGGGGCCTGGAGATGGGGCTGTCATTTCTCTCCAAACACTTTCCCATGCAGGAGGGCCAACCCCAGGTGCAAGAGACTCCAGGTATTGGGGTGACCCCATGAGGAAAAGTCCCCGAGTACCTTAAGGAAACATGATTGAGAAGAAGGACAGGGAGATCAGGTGCCAGGAGTGTGCAGGGCTGAGCTCAGCTTCTAGAAGCACAGATTGGGGCGAGATCCTTGAGGCCTGCCTGGAGGTGGGGCACAAAGCCGGGCTCTGAAGGGGAGGGGAGAGTTGACCCCCAGCCTTAGTGTGTGAAGCCCTGAGAGGCTTGTTTGTCTCCAGAGATGCTGGGAAGCACTGGCCTGTCTGAGGTTGTTGGAGCACAGGGGCCTGGTGGCGGGTTGAGACAGGAGGGACAGGCCGGGTCTAGGTGGCTTCAGGTGCCATCTCCAGTCCCCACGGAACACCCAGTTACTATGGAGCCGGCCAGCCATTGTGGTTGCCCCCAGGCCTGGGCCAAGTCCCCTGCCATGGGGGGGTCTGTGACCTCCCTGTCTCTGCCAAGCTCGCTGCCTCGGGCTGCCCAGCCCCGAACCCACCCCCCTTCCTCGCAGGTGGCTTTCCCCAGGCCCACCTCAGGTCAGGGCCTGCGTCCCCCAAGGGATCCAGTGGACCAGGCTGCCTCCAGCCCTGAGCGCCCTCCTTGGCGGGCCCCTTTCCCAGGCTCCACCATGTATTCCCCACTCCCAGCCTGGGGATGTCCCCCCATGGCGGGCCCCCATGCCGGCTCCAGGCCTGGAACACGACCACCTGATCAAACTCCAGACTGCTTCTTGAAGGAAGGGGCAGCAGAAAGTGTCCTACAGCCAGGGCAGGGGGCAGAAGGGCTGGAGGGGCCAGCGGGCCTCAGGGAGGGGTGGCACACTGCTGTCGCTGCCCGGCACCCGGTGCTAATGAGCTACTTGCTGTCTCGCTCCCACAGCTGACATCATCTCTACCGTCGAGTTCAACCACACCGGAGAGCTGCTGGCCACAGGTGACAAGGGCGGCCGGGTCGTCATCTTCCAGCGGGAACCAGAGGTGCGAGGCACAGGGTCTTGGGCGAGGCAGGGTGGGGGCAGAATCAGGTGGTGGGGGGAGGTGGGAAGGGGCGGGGTCTGGTGGGGCGGGGTGGGGCTGGAGGTTGGCTGTGGGGACTGCAGTCCAACCTGCAGGGGGGCCTTTAACCCACAGATACCAGGGCTGCAGCTCTTAGGGAAGCTACCCTGACTCCGCCACAGCGTCCCTGGGATGCAGGGACAGGGGTGTTCCCGGTGGGCCAGGAGTGCGAGTCGTCCGGCCGAGCTCCCAAAGCCTCGTCTGAGCCCCCCCACTCAGTGATGCTGTGGATTGCCCCTGTGGGCAGCGCTCTGTCCTAGACCCCAGACCATCAGGCCCAGGGGAGCTGGCTGTCTCCTGGCTTCTGCCTCCAGTTAAACCTTCCTCCACCTGAGTGGCCTGGCGTTGTCTTGGCCAAAGCAGGGACTGGAGGGGGGTCCACTCTTGTCCTGCTGTCAACAGCCCTCAGGCTGGGCTTGGCGGCTTTGCTCGGCATGGGCCCTTGCCCCCACCCTGCACCCGCAGCTCCACCCCGTGGGGTTTTTGTCCAGCGTAACGGGTAAGACAGGAGTGGCTTGGGACAGCCCGCCCAGGGGCACATTTCTGGAACATTGAAAGAACCTCAGCATCAAAGCATCCCGACTGCACTCAGACACCTTGCTAAGCAGCCTGTGTGCTCTTCTCGTTGACTCCTCCTCACTGCTCACCGTGGCGGGTGAGGGTCCTCACCCATTTTACAGATGAGAACACTCTGAGAAGCCCCCCAGCTAGTGACCGGCAGACCAGGGATGGAACCTGGACCTGCCCAACTCCAAGACCAGGGTCTGTAACTTATACACCACCCGGCTGCAAAGGGGCATCTGCCCGGCACACACCTGGGGGATTTGATGCAAGGACATCCCCGAAACCAGGGAGGGGGTGGGAGAGAGGAGGTGGGACAGGGGAGGAAGAGGGGGAGGAAGAGGAGCTGCAGGATCATCTCCCTTCATTTACTTCCGAGCATGGCCCCGTGGCTGAGCCTGGACCCTGACTTTACCTTGGTCGCTCATGACAACCCTATTGGTGCTGTTAGATGCTGCTATTGCGCACATTTTACAGCGGGGGACAGAGCCTGGAGGGTTCCACAGTCCACCAAGGACCCCTACTAGCAGGTGGCTGCTAATCTGTTAGCCAAACCCAGCACTGTGGCTGGCGCACGTGGGTTTCACGTGGTGGACCAGGGTATCCCACTGGGGAGGCCACGCCTTCCTTTCGCCAAACTGCAGAAAGAAATTAAATTGGTGGATGCAAGTTTGCCAGTTTTCAATTTTTCTCTTTTCCTTTTTTTCTTCATTCTGGTCCCATTGACCTTTGGCTTAGCAAGAGCTCATAGGAGATGAAGTGAATTACAGGCAAAAATATTGAAGAACTTTAAAGCTTTTCAAAGACAAGACAAAGATAGGAAAATAAAAGTAGATACTTTTAGAAAATTAAAAACTTGAAATTCTGCTTTGTTGAATGTCGTCCCTTATTCCTGGGTGTAGTTTCATGTTGTTGTGTAAACTTGAATTGTCTCCCGGGAAATGGTCCCTGGTGCATGCAGTGGGCCCGGCACCTCACATGAGGGTCTTTCTTTTAAGGGGCTCTGCTTCTGAACCGGGTGCCACTGAGCAAAGTCGGGAGGTGATATTATAGCCCAGGCCTGACATTTGCAGCACGTGCTGCTCCAGTGTAAAATCTGTGCATTCGTTCCTCCACTCAGGCCTGAGTTGTACACGTGCAATCATGGAGGTCACGTCCCCTCTGAGCCTTTGCTCACTCATCTGTAAAGTGGGGTGAGTCATGGTGCCAGCCTCGAGGCCTTGAGCGCAGCACGAGCTGCGGTGCGGCAGCACTCAGCTCACGTCTGGCACAGAGTGGGTGCTCAGTGGACACGCGCTGGCTTGGACGTTCTCGCTTATTGGACTGATGAGAAGGCAGAGCTTGGCCGCAGCCGCACAGCGCACTGTGGGCCATTTAAAGTGCAGAGTGTCCTTTGACCCTTGAATTGGATCCCCTGGCACTGCTGGCACCTGGTCACCATGGCTGTGTCAGGCCCTTCAAGGTGGTAGCTGCAGCTGTCACCTGTCATGGAGCTCAGGCCCCTTCTCTGCGGTTTCCTTGCAGAGTAAAAATGCACCTCACAGCCAGGGTGAGTACGACGTCTACAGCACTTTCCAGAGCCACGAGCCAGAGTTCGACTATCTCAAGAGCCTAGAGATAGAGGAGAAAATCAACAAGATCAAATGGCTCCCGCAGCAGAACGCAGCGCACTCGCTCCTGTCCACCAACGGTGAGGCCGCTGCCACCTGCAATGTCCCCGTGTGCACAGTCACGGGTGTGACTGGTGTTACCAAATGCTTGTGTTGGGGTTTTTTCTTTTTTCTTTCTTTCTTTTTGTTTAGAGACACGGTCTCGCTCTGTTGCCCAGGCTAGAGTGCAAGTGATCATAGCTCACTGCAGCCTCCAACTCCTGGGCTCAAATGATCCTCCTGCCTCAGCCTCCTGAGTAGCTGGGACTACAGGCACGTGCCACCACACCCAGCTAATTGTTTTTTAATTTGTAGAGACAGGGTCTCACTATGTCACCCAGGCTGGCCTGGAACTCCTGACCTCAAGCAATCCTCTTGCCTCAGCCTCCCAAAGTGCTGGGATTACAGACAGATACTTGTTTTTTACGTCACTTATCTTGTGAGTGTTTTTCTAGGTCTGTAGAACTTCTAACAAATAATATTTGTGCAACATGTAAATCCCATCAGGTGCATATGCCAGAGCTTCCTCACTTCTCTGCATGGCCAGACTGGGGGGTTGTCCCCCTACTGTAAGTGGCACTGCAGTGCCATCTTCGTGGGTACTTTTCTTGGGCGAAGGGAGCTGGATGTTCCCAACAAAGGGCGAGGTCAGTAAGCACAGTGGTCTGGCCTCTCAATCACTCTGCCCCAGGGAGGCACATGTGCCCCCAGGCCCCAGGCCAGCTTCCCATGGTCTGCTCTGAGTGAGAGGCCTGGGGCCGTCCTGCTCAGCCAGCAGTGGGTGGCAGCTCCCCACAGCCACTGCCTCTGCCCCTCCTCCTCCCCCTCCCCTCTCAGCCCCCTGGGTCCCAGGAACCTGAGCTCAGGGCAGGACACACCTTCTCTGACCTCTCTGCCCAGCCAGGTATCCCTGCTGTGACATTCTGGCTCCTCCCACCAGGCACCTGCCCTGCCCATTATGTGCTCCTGCCAGCCTCCTTAAAGGTGGGGTGTATGTGCCCTAAGGGGTGCCTGGTGCAGGGTTGTGCTCAGCTGAGGAGCCAACGGGGCCCTTCCCCGGGGCAGGAGCCTCTGGCAGTGCTAAGCCTCACATGCTTTTAAAAAAATCATTTAAGAGGGATAGGTCACTTTCTTCCTGCCTCTCTGGAAGAAAGGTCGTCTTTTGGAGCTCCCTGCCCTCCTCTCGCCCACAGCTTCCCACCCGTGGTTTTGGATCCCAGGCACAGCCTGTCCTGCTGCTGTCAACAGCTGTGTCATGAACACGGCAGTGTGTGTTTTGGCTACTGCAGTCGTCAGGTTCTCCGGGGAGGCAGAACCAACAGGGTGTGAGGCAGAGAGAGATCGTGGGTGCGGGGGCTTGGGCAGCCCCAGTCTGCAGGGCGGGCGGCAGGCTGGGGACCAGCGCGGCGTTGCAATGGAGTCCGAAGGCCGTCTGCTGGCAGCGCCGCTGTGTGCCTGGGAGGTGTGTCGTTCTCTAGCTACTGACGTGCACATTCTGTTCCCTCTTCTCTTGGTTAATTGTGTGTCTCTCTTTACTTTGTTCTGTTTTAAAAGATAAAACTATCAAATTATGGAAGATTACCGAACGAGACAAAAGGCCCGAGGGCTATAACCTGAAGGATGAGGAGGGGAAACTGAAGGACCTGTCCACAGTGACGTCATTGCAGGTGAGACGGGCACGGAAGATGCCGGCAGGTGGGAAGCAAGCTTGTGCTTCTTTTATTAAATGATGAGGATTTTAGGACTTGTAGGGCCTTTGAGATTTGAGCCAGCGTTGGGTTCACATCCTGGCTGGGCTGCTTATGTGTTGGGTGGCCTTGGGCGTTTCCCTGCCTCAGTTTCCTCTCTAGCACAAGGGAGGCGATCATGTTTCTTCTGGGCGTCTCGTGAGCAAGAGGTGTGGTGGTGCCTGTCTGTAAAGTGCCCTTCACCTGCGGCTGAGGGTGGCATATGAAGGGGGAAACTGAGGCCTAGGGAGGGACAGACATTCACCCAGAGCCACTCAGCTGAGTGAGGGGCAGAGCCAGAAGGAGAATCGCTCAGCTGGGCGCTGTGGCTCCCGAGCCCTTCACGGGAGGGCAGGGGAAGCCTGGGGCTCATGGGACTTGCGGCGCTTGCGAGGGCCCAGCTCAAAAGATTGCAGTGGACGGAAAAGCGCCAGGAGGGTTAAGTCGCAGAGCTGTGCCGAGGCGAAGTCTTGTCCCCAGTGACATAAAAAGGCAAAAGGACTCGTGTTTCTTCCGGTGGAGAGGCTGAGACACAGAAGAAAGAGTTCTGGAGCCACTAGGCCTGGGTTCAAATCCCACGTGTGCCACCTCCTGGCAGTGTGACCTTGGGCTCATCTGGAACACGAGTACACACCTCAGGAGGAGCTCGTATCCTCCCAGCTCTCTTGCCGTGGTAGCTCATTTAACTCTCCCCGGGTCCTATAGAGTGGACACCGGCGCTATCACCTGCACGTCGCGGGTGAGGAGGCTGGGAGCTGGGATCCACAGCCGGGAAAGCCTGGCTCCGGACTCGGCGTGCAGTGCCCTCCGTGAGGTGGGGAGAGGCCCCTGCCTCACGGGCGAGCGCGGGGATGGAGAGTGGCGTTCCGCTGCCCAGACGCAACGTTGGTCCCTTTCCTTCTCCATCGGGGCAGGAGGCACCTGAAGCCACCTTGCTCATCCCTGGCTTCCAGAACTGTGCCTGGAACATGCACTTTGCACATGTTTGTCGAGGGGCGTGCTGGTGCCCAGCTAATTCCGACTTATTCCAACCCGACCTCCTGTGTACCCCACTGTGCTCTAGGCACGCGGGGTTCACAGTGAGCAAAGCCCCTGACGGCCGCTTGAGGGCAGGATCGGGTCCGAGTCTTCTCGGTGCCCCGTGCCTGGGTCAGGCCTGCTCAGAGGAGCTGGGGCGAGTGCAGGGCTGATCTGCTTCCCATGTCCTGGTGCCGACGCGAGGGCCAGGCTCATATCCTGCGGCATCCTGCCTCTCTCAGTCCGTCCCTGACGGTGAGCTGCTGCTCCCACCCTCCCACTGAGCCGTGGTGTCCCCTGATGGGGCGGGTGACATTGGCGCCTCTCCAGGCTCTCACACCAACTGCTGGCAAGTCCACACACTGCCAGTGGGCGTCTGTGGCTGCTTGCCTGCTCCGGGCCTCGGTTTCCTCACCAGCAGAATGGAGATGATGACCCGTCTCTCTGAAACAGCACAGCAGGCTCCCACAGCGCCCAGCCTCACGTGCCCTTCCCCGCAGAGACGTGGCAGGCGCACACGCTGAGCATCCTGCGTGAATGTAAAGCGGTGATCACTGTGGTTCCCGAGAAGAAATGAATGTGTAAACACACTGGCCTCTAGATGACTGGCAATTCGCACAAACAAGTGCTGAGGGAGTGGGGAAGCCAATTAGCTTCCACGTCCAGGAATGAGGGGCCCAGTGCCCCCGCCCCCCCCAGCCCCAAGACGGTTTACGAGGGTTTCGCTAGGAGGGACGTGGCGATCATATCCTGATCACCTGGCGCTGGAGCCACAGCTAGCAGCCCGTGGGAATCCTGTCTGTTTCCCTCCCGGCACTGGGGCTTTTTCTCTGTAAGTCACACACATCCGAAGACACTTAGCTATAACTGAGCTGGAGGAGACGGGGGAAGAACTGGGGTGTCCTGGTCTGTCCTCCTCTTGCTCCTCCCTTGTTTGTGTCCCGTTTTACCTGAGCTGCCCCAGTCCTTCGCAGCTTTCTGCCCAGTCTGTGCAGTCAACCCTGGAGGAAGCTCTTACTTACTGAGGAGCTGCTCTGCGCCAGGCCCTGGACTGGGTCCTTGGGGTCCTAGAGGGGAGCAAGGTAAAGCTCAGTCCCTGCCCGCCAAGTATTCCTAGTCCCCAAGGAAACAGACATGGAATCACCACCACACTGCCTTAAGAGGCCTTTCTCTACCTTCTCTTTTTGGTGAACTCCTATTCAACCTTTAAAACCCTACTAGTCTTCACCTCTTTAAAGCCATTCTACACAGGCCAGAAGAAAATCACTGTGCTTCCTCAGTCCACTCTAGCCATTTGTATCCAACACTGTTCTGTCCTTAATGTTTATGTGTCTGTCTTCCTGCCCTCACCTTGACTAGATTGTGGCTTCTGGAAGTGTGGAGGGTACATGTTTTATTCATGAAACCCCCAAACCTTCAGGGCAGATTTCTTTTCACTCTTTCCTTTTTTTTTCTTAAAAAAAAAAAAAGTCTTTGAAATCTAGTTTGTGGGGTGGCGGGGAATGGCTGGAGCACCGGGTGAACCGTCCCAAGGCTGCCAGGAGCCAACAGTGCTGCTGGCAGGAGAGGGGAGACAGACCGCGATGCCAGGACTTCCCCAGTGATGATCTGACTCCTCTGGAACAGCTGGACTCCTCTGTCTCCTGAGAGTCCAGGTGTCCCCAGGGGGCAGTGGCTGCTCCCTGCAGGGAGGGCAGGCTGGGAGCTGCCCTAGAAGCTGACACAGGACTGTGCGCAGGGAGGACCCCACATAGGGGTCCAGACACACCAACACTGACTTGCAGGCATGCGGCCCAGAAGCACACAGACACAGAGACAGCAACACGAGAATCTCCCAGAGCCAGGCGGGCCTGCACACGGGTGCCGCACGCACACACTGACGTGCGCTCGTGTGCATGCACTCACACATGCACTCACACTCACCTACACCCACACACACATGCTGGGGCCCTGGTGCATGGGAAAGCCCAGTGTGGCTGCGGAGCTGCACCCGCACTGGAGGGGCTCAGTGCCCGTTGCTCCACTGCGGCACGGAAGCTGCCACCTCCCATCTCAGCTGTCCCCCGTGAACTCAGGGACTTGGCCCACTCATTCATTCACTCACCCATTCACTCATTTGCTGGAGGCCATTTCTGTGCTAGGGCCTGGGCCGAGTACCAGACAGCCAGAGCGATAAACCAGGGAAGACATGTCGTGTCCCTCATTAGTCCCTGGCCCACTGGGGACACAGATGGGAGAAGACGACAATCTCAGGGTTGGTCGGGGCTACGACAGGGCAGCAGGGGCTCGGGGGGGCCTGGCCCAGCCTGAGCATGGCGTGGGGCCAGGGGGGGGTCCCCTGAGAAGAGAGTCTCTTCTCGTGGGTCCCACATCACCCAGTGCCACCACACAGCCCGTTTCAGGCCCCTTTTCATGTCCCCCACGTTCCCCTCTGGCCTGGCCCCAGCCCCTGCTTCCTGAACCTCGGCTCGCACCTGTTTTGACTTCACACATCTGTCTCCACCTGAACTCTCGCTCACACATTTGTGCGTGTCTGCTGTCTTTCTCCTCGACTCGAGTCCAAGCAGCCGGTCTGCCGTGACTCGTCCTTGCCCAGCTGTGGCTGGGTTCCCAGGATCCTGCGTGGTGACTGCGACCCTGTTCCGCCACCCTGCGCTTAGCCGACAAAGGTCCGAGCAGCCCTCCCCCCGAGGCTGGCCTCACAGCCTTTCTCAGGCACCGTTCCCGTCGCACCCCCACCCAGGGCTCACCTTGGGGGCATCTGCAGACGCCAGGTGTCAGGGGCCTGACCACCCGTAGCCACTGCATGGCCTGTCCCATGGACGGAGAACCTGCCACATGCCGAGAGCTGTTCTGCGTGCTTAAGGGGCATCAACTCGTGGATCCCTCGAGAAGCCCCTGGGCAGTTACCACCATCACCCCGTTTACAGAAAAGGAAACTGAGGCCAGAGAGGTGAAGCCCAGTGAAGGTGACGCTGGCGAGAGCTGGCAGTCAGGGTTGGGAGCCAGCCCCTTTCCACCACGACACCCTCAGGGGTGGTTGCACCTGGCGACTGTCCTGGCTCTGTCACCTCGTAACTCTGCAAGTCCCTGAGTCTGGTTCCCTTGGCATCCAGTCTTGTCATTGGTGATGCGGGGATGGCAATGCCAGCCTCCATTTCCTGAGCACCCAGGCCAGGCCTCAGGAAAGATCAGAGGCTGTTGTCTGTCTGTCTGTCTCTGCACCTCTGAAGACCTCACAGTTCCCTGGAACAGAGAGCCGTGCCCGAGGCACACTGCAGTGTGCGATGAGAACCCCAGTAGAGACGCGTGCAGCGTGCTGCGGAGAGCAGGCCGTGGGACACCCCGCCAGGGCAGGCCGCGCGCCCTGGGGGCTGTTGCCTCTGGGTCTTGAAGGAGGGGTCAGAGTTCAGTAGGAGTGAACGAGGGAGAACGTTCCAGGCAGAGGGTGTGGGGGGAAGAAAGGCCCAATGTCTGATGCTGTCACAGGGACCCCTTGTGCCAGCTCTCCTAGGTGAGTTAGTACAAGTCAGCCAACCCTGACAGCCGCAACAAATACCCCCTGCTTCTAGGGCTGAACACGGAGATGTAGTTCTCACTGTGGACAGGTCCAGGGTGGGTGTCCTGGTTGTGCATGGCTCCCCTGCACCCATGCCCATCCGTGTGCCTCCATCCCTGGGGCTTGGGTCCTCACCTTCCCGGCGGAGAAGGCAAACCCGCTGCCTAACTGCGAGCCCACGAGCACCACGCAGCGCTTTGCTCACGTCCCATGGGTCAGAATTAGTCACGTGGCCACACCCTGGTGCAATGGCAGCAGGGAAATGTGGTCCCCACCCGGGCAGCCACTTCCCAGTGACAGCACCGTATCATAGGAGGGAGATGCTATGGTTTGGGGGACAGTGGGTGGCCTCTGCCACGTATCTTTTCATTCCATTTCAGAGATGAGGAAATTGGGGTACAGAGGGCTCAGTCACTCAATCACAGACACACAGAGTCCCTGCCAGGGCTCAAACCAAGCCCAGGAGCCTGAGTGAAGGAGGCGGCCTTTACTGCAGGGCCGGGTGGGCAGTGGACGTCCGCCAGCCGCCACTGCCTATTTCAGACCTTGCAGGATCAGGACGGGTGCCCACGCCCGTGTTCCCACCTCTAGTTTAGATCACACGCCCCTGCGTGCCACTTCCTGATGCAGCCTGCCGCCTGGCCCCCTGGCCACCCCCGCTTCTCCCTGCACGGCCTCTGCTCTGACCGTCCCCTCCTGCGCAGGTGCCTGTGCTGAAGCCCATGGACCTGATGGTGGAGGTGAGCCCCCGCAGGATCTTTGCCAACGGCCACACCTACCACATCAACTCCATCTCCGTCAACAGCGACTGCGAAACCTACATGTCTGCGGACGACCTGCGCATCAACCTCTGGCACCTGGCCATCACCGACAGGAGCTTCAGTATCCTTCGCTGTGGGCCCACGCTGCCGTCTCCCGCGGAGGGTGGCTTCCGGGTGGGTGGGTGGGTGGCTTGGCTGTAAGAGGCCTGGTTTGGGGGCTTCTGTTGCATTTCACTTCTTAAATGAGATGCCTTTTGGCTCACGGGGTGCGTGGTCCAGATATGGAATCATATGTTGCGTCTATTTCTGCGAACTTTAAAATCAGGGCTGCTGAGTGTTGTGTTTGATCCCTTGCCTCTCCCGAGGTGGCCAGGGTCCCTGTCATCCTGGGGCCTCACCAGAGACCAGGAAGCAAGTGGAGAGTCCTGGAGGAGGGACAGCTGGCACCCCTCAGTCAGTCGGCCAATGGCTCCTTGGAGCCCCCGCTGTGGGGCCCAAGGCAGGTGTTGCTGAACAGCATTGGGGTCCTGTCTAGGGCTTAGAGTGACAACAGGGTGTCAGAAGCCCAGCTGGATCAGGGTCCTGGGGGCCCTGCTCAGAGGTCCCCTGTGTCAGGGCAGGCTAGAGACAATAGCACTAGAGCCCCCACTGACCGGTGAGGAAAGAACTGGCAACACATGAGCACTGGCCTGGGGATGGGCGAGGCTTGGCCCATGAGGGGCTGCTGCGGACAGCAGGGCAGGCAGGTGGTTAAGATGCCACTATTCTGCAGAACAATAATAATATTGATCGTAGCAATATTCAGCGTGGCTCTATGTGCCTCGTCTGTGCCTGATACCACCACGCGTTAATTTTAATTCATTTCATCTGCACAACAACCCTATGAGTCAGGTGCTGTCATGGTCCCCCTTTATAGATGAAGAAACTGAGGCACAGAGAGCCTGAGGCAACTTGCTGAAAGCCCATAGCCTCCGAGTGTCGAAGCTGGCATTCGAACCCAGGCCCTCCGGCCCCGGAGTCCCCACTTCTGACCTCTGCACCCAGCTGCCTTTGTGAAGGGTGCTGCCCATTGTGTAATGAGGGGGCTGGGAGGACCCCCCAAGAGCCTTTGTGCCATCAGACGGCCTCCAGCCGGGCAGCCCTGGGCACCCGGAGCTGAGCAGCTCCTGGCAAAGGGGCGCACGCCTGCTACCGTCGTGTCTTGCCCGTCGGAGTGAGCCCTCGGAGCAGCAACCGGGCTTGCGGAGCGGAGTGCGGAAGCAGGGGACAATCTGGGAAGGAGGGAAGGAAGGTAACAAATGGCTTTGGGGGCTGAAAGCCGGCCGTGGCCAGGGAGACCCTCAGGAACTAGAGGGAAGGGAACTGGGAAGCTTGGAGCAAAGCACTGGACGTTCCGGAGCCTGGCGAGAGGGTGTGGGGCAAACACGTGCCTGCAGAGCTGCAAGTCTCTGTGTGAGCCGGCCGCATCTTCCAGCTCCGTGACCTTGGGGGAGTCAGACCTCTCTGAGCCGCGGTCTTTTCAGGACCTCTCCCTCGTCATACTGTAGTGTGCGTCGTCAGTGAGCAAAATATGAGCCATCCTGGCCGTTCGCAACAGAGGAGTGTGTCTAGAACTCCAAGGCTTCAGAGCTGGGCTCCAGGCAGCCCCGGCCTACAAAACTCAGGCGTTTGGGGGTACATGGTTGTGGAAACCTCTCTTGATTAGATTAATTCACTGGGGAGCCACATTGCACTTGGCCACAGGAGCGAGCAGACACGGGCCTGGAGCAGAGGCGCAGCGCACGTCCGTGGGGGCAAGCCTGCCAGGGCAGGGCCGGTGTTGGCATGGTGGGCTGCAGGTGCTGAATGGGCTGGGAGCAGCTGAGTGATTAGAAAAGGCATTTCCTTTCTGACTGGCAGGAGGCCAGCAGGCAGCTGTGACTCTGTGCAGAGCTGGGGACAGCTCTGAGTGTTTGAGACACCCTTGAGCAAGCCCCACTGGGAGGATCCTGCCTGTCGGCTGGCGGCGGCTCTGGTCAGAGCCGATGAGGAAACCGGGGTTGGGCCTGCGCCCAAGCAGAGGGAAGGGAAGGCGTGGTCGGGACTTGGGGTTCACATTCTTAATGCTTGCTCTCTGGTGTCCTCGCTTGGCCTGAGGGTGCGTGTCCCACCCTCAGAGTCCACGGGAAGGACTTTGCTGTGTGACCGTCTCTGCATGTCCAATCAGCAACACTTTCCGTCTCAGCAAAGTTGAGTTTTAGTGACCGTGTCAAGAGAAAGGAAATGTTTTTTAGTGAAGGAGACAAAGAGGGCATCATTCTGACTGTTTGACATGGAGAAAGGACTCAGAGGACATCTCTGCTGGAACTCCATAACTGGCTGTCTCGATTCGAGGATCTCTGCAGTGGCTGGGCCCGTTCCGTCTCCAACACCCAAACATCAGGACCCCTCCCAGCCTCCTTTCTCACCCTCATCCTCAGGATGGGAGGAGGCCCCAGGCCCCTGCCCTGGTGCCGTCCCGCCCTGCCTACCCCGTCGGCCTCTGCAAAGCTGCCAGAACCAGGGGTCCCGGCGTGTCAGCCCCGCTGAGGCCCTCAGAGGTTCCCCTGCAGCCTTGGCGACGGGCCCTCGCCCACCTCTCAGGTTCTTGCGCATCGGACTTGCTCAGGGGGCTGCTGGGTTCCCGTCACGGTGTGGGTGAGTGCAGAGTTCTGCCCTCCCAGCCTGTGGCCGCCGGGCACCTGTGCCCTGTCCTTGCCACACCCCTCCTGGGCTGCTCAGAGCCGCTCTGGGCTCCTTGGCCTCTCTCTGGTCACACGAGTTTCCTGTTACTATGAAGCCTCCCCCCCAATTTTCTGGTGGAGGCCCTGGGATTAGGAACCTGGGGGAGGGCTCTCCGTATCCCTGCCCTCCACGCGGGGCCTGGCACACCATGGAGGCTTGTGAGTGGTTGTAGAGGGACAGGCTGGGAGTTCACTGCGTCCGTGTGGCCTCAGGATATAGATCCCCTGCCCCTGTCGGTCTGTACTCCAGGTGGCTCAGAGACCCCCAGACACCAGCGAGCGGGGTAGGCCCGTGCTCAGCCCCACTGCTCAGCCTCCTGGGCCACCAGCTTCCAAGTGTGGAATGGGCAAAATTCCTTATCATGAGGACATTCGTGAGGATTTAGGAATCTTTCACTCAAAGGGCCTGGTACCAGATCGAGGCCTAGCAAGAGGACGGTATTATTTTCTCTTTTTAATAACAGCTCCTCAGATATTTAAGATTGGTTCTCATCAAGTCCCTGCATCTCTGACCTAGTGACTGGAGCGCTGTCTTCCCCAGTGCTCCTTCGACACCTGCTTAAACAACCCCTCCCGTCCTTTGACACCAACATTTTGAGACGGTTACGCAGTGCTGAGTGATTTTTCTTGAGTTCGATGTATCTTAAAGGTGACAAATTGCACAGGAGGCCTCAGCTGATGGACCTCTGCTTTATTTTTAGCACTGGAGAATTTTAGAGATGGTTCAGTTGATTTCCCCCCAGAGCGATTTCTCATGGTGGAAGCTGGCATCACTCCAAGCTTCAGCCGGGAACAAATTTCTAATCGCCATGTACGGAGCAGGTCTCTGTAGCCAGCGGGGTTGGAGGGGCTGTAGCGAGTGCCTGCGGGAGGCTCAGAGCCGCGGTCAGTGCACACCTGCCTGGGGCCCTGCTTGTTCTCCGTGCTGGGGGCAAGGGGGGGACCCACCAAGGTCCCTGCACCTGCCAGGCCCTGTGCTGGGCCAAGGAGCTCAGAGCCCACAGCCCACCTCTGCCTCTGCCACTGGCTCTGCCCAGTCTCCCAGGCTTCCTGAGCCCCATTTTTCTCATCCACGTGATGGGGGTGTGCCTTCTTTACCGGGGCCATGAGGGCCAAATGGCCTGTGAGAAGGGAGCTGAATTCAGTGTAGACCTGTGACCTTCACCAGCCGGTGACCCACCCTCAGGCTCCTTACGGGCTATTTCCTTGTCCCGCCCACAGTAGCAGTCTGTAGAGAAGGAGACTGGGATGCGCCTGCCAGAATGCTCTTTCCATAGCTTATCGGACGAGAAGAACAAATGGTAAGAGTGTGGCTGTGAGTATGGGCTCCTGGTGCTGGTTCCAGCTCTCCTGCTACCTGCCCATGGCTCTGCGCACTCATTCATTCATGCGGCAGTATTGACTGAGAGTCTGCTTTGTGATGAGCATTTGACTAGATGCTGGGGATACAGGCAGGGTGTCTGCTGGGGCCTGCAAGCACAGTTGCATAGGTTGTCCACTGCGTGAAGGAGGTAGTGAGCAGGGGCAGAAATCCAAGCCAGGCACGCTGGAAAGAAGGGCATTTTTTTTGCTTTTCCATTCTGCATGGAGGAGTTGACTTTGCATAATTTGCACAAAGGCACCTTTTGAGTGAATGGGGATCCTGATACTTCCCTCGTGGGGTTTCTAGTGGAACAAGAAGATAGGTGCTGAGCAAAGCAAGCCTTGGCAAGCCCTGCAGCTCCACGTCCAAGTGCATCCAGAGCCCAGAGGGCTCTCCCCTTGGCACGCGTCCAGGCCACCGTCACTGTTACCCTGATGATGACAGTGACTTCACGGGCTGCCCTTCTTAGGTCTAGGATCCTAGACTGCCAGGTCAAACCTTGCCCCAAGATATAGTGACTCTGTGGCCTTGGTCAGCTTACTCGGACCCTTGTGCCTCAGCTCTCACCTGTACGAGGAGGAGCCCTGCGCACATCACAGGGATGCCGTGAGGACTGGGTGTTATGAGAGCATCTGTCAAGCCTGGCAAATAATCGACCCCCATCGTCACTGTTGTCATTAGCTATGTGTCCCCTCATGTCTCCTTACGGCCTATTGTCCAGCAGCAACAGCAAGTTTTTTAAAAAATGTGAACCAGATCACGTCACTCCCTGTTCGGAACCCTCCAACAACTTCCGCCATCTTGGAATAAACTCCTGCCCCTTTCTGTGGCCTCTGAGGCCCTGCAAGGGCTGGCCGTCCCCCACCCCCACTCACTTCCTCCTCCTCCTCCCCTTGCTCCCGGGGCTCAGCCTCCCAGCCCCTCACCACTGCTGAGCAGCCGCCCCTCCTGCTGCAGCGCACTTGGCACTGGCTGTTCATGCTGCCTGTGAAGTTT